GTGTATACATGTACATAACCTGATGTTGGTGTTGGTTGCAAATCGTAGTTCATAATAGTCGTCCTATTACAGGTAAGGGGGAAAAGTTCAGAAAGTTTAGAACATCTCATTCATCTCGTGAGGCAAATTATCACCTAATGTGGAAGTCCTGTCTTCAAGTGAGGGAAAATGACACAAAAAAAAGTTACAGTGAAAGTAAAAAGAATGATGAATGTTGATATGGTGTACATTGTACATCATGTAAAGGTATTTGGTGAATGCCAAAGGCGTAACATTTGATGTATTGCTTTTTCAGGACAAACTATATAACAGTGAAGTTTTAAAAGGTGTGATCAGAAAAATAATGAGTACATTGTCCAGGCAGTACCAGATTATGGACGGCATATGCAGACAGTAAGAGGAATTGTAACCATTACCGGGTAAGTTTGTTTTATGCTTTTGATTCATGTACTTGGATTTTGAGTCATTTCATCACAAGAATAAGTAATGACAGATGCAATAGTTGTTTGGAATTTATTTTTGAAGGCAAACTTATAAGTCTGCCTATGCTGGATAACAGCCATGTGTATACTGAATGTAAAGCAAACACACTGTTAAAGATGGGGCAACCCTAAAACCCAGAAACTGGAATCCGGAATCCAGAACCAAAAACCGGAATCCAGAAACCGGAAACCGGAATCCACAAATCAAAGAAAACAAGTTCTTCAAGTACTCAAAACTTGTTTTGCTTATGTTTTTGCTTGTCAAAAATAAGCAGCCAAGTAAAAAGGACCTCAAACTTAACCTTTTTTGAAACAAAAATTCCCCATCTGTTGAAATTCGTGCAACCGTTATTTCTAGTAAGGGCTATGATTATGAGAATCTTNCCTCAAACTTAACCTTTTTTGAAACAAAAATTCCCCATCTGTTGAAATTCGTGCAACCGTTATTTCTAGTAAGGGCTATGATTATGAGAATCTTAGTAAAGTGCGTCGTTATTTTATTCCAAGCACCCTGAGAACGTCTAAAATAAGCTTGCTGGTAACTAACCGCGCAGCCATGAGCAGAGCGCGGTTCATGTTCTACCCGTAGTTTATTTTTTTTTTCTGTCAGTGACCAGACCCAAACTTCCTCTGGGCCAAATTTTGAATCATGCAACCTGTGATGTTTATTCGCCAAAAGCTATTGAAACATTAATACAAGGACAATGTTACGGATATTGTTTTCTATATTGTTTTCTAAAAGCACTAAAAAAGGTAATACATCAGCCATGGAATGCTTGACGTTGCAGCTTTCATTTTCGCTACTTGACAAATAAGATCGTGTTTACTTTGCAAGCTTATTTTGCCAGAAGCGATGGTCGTTAATTTATTTGCAATTTTGCGAGTTTTCCTGTGGGTGTCGGCAAATGAAGCGAATTCTTTGGTTGTTTCATTGCAGCGAGTTAAGAGATTTGAAGAAAAGTGAAATATTTGCTGAGGTAAACAAGAGCATGCCAGAACTTGCAACGTTTAAGTTAGTGCTAGGCGAAAAAACACAACTGTTCTAAAATTAGCTGTGGATAGCGTAAACCCTCTGATTGTGTGACTTGCGTAACT